TTACAATAATTATGCAAAGAAATAAAAAAATAAAGCGACAAACTAATTTCTCACATTACAAATATATGGCAGCTGGGTCGTTGCTATGGTAACCGTGGCAAAGCAATAATAAAAATGTGTACAAATCACCTTAAACGTCATTTTAAAGCAATTATAAAATAGAATAAAATCCGTTACTCAATATTTCTTAATATATTTAGCTTACAAGTGTTAAGATTTCGTTTCAATTTACTGCAAACTTTCCTTACCTTACGCCTTGCGTAGGATGATATTCTCCGCCAGATGTTTCAGTAGCATCAGAAAGAAAATTTGCTAACACAGTTTTGCCACTCTACAAATCAAAGACAAAAATTATTTAAAAAAATCGTAATTGAGAAGGTCTCCCTGGCAACTAACCATAACTTAGTGGTCAATATAATTTAAACTTAAACTAAATTCGTAAGTTTGGTCGCTATTAGAAAGGTAAGCAAGCTTACGCCATATTAAAATAACTTAACATGTGCAGAAGTACATCATTAAGATTGCTAATCTATATAATATCCACTAACATTTTACCTCACAAGGTCCAATTATGAGAATTTTCGCTGTGAACATGCCGAGGTAAACAGGAGCTGAACTTTTTTTTTTCGCTCGACCTGTGAAAACAAAATGGCTGGTGACCACCACTGCAGGAGAGACTGGGGATAGCAACACAGGGAGACCGCGAATGTCTAAATGAACGGAATGAGGAAATGGAGAGGTGACTGCATCATACAGTCATATCTAATAAAACCTATAATTGTATATTTATTTTTCTTAGTTACTATACACTATCGATCAAACCGAAAATCCAAAGGAAATTTTCTGGAATATTAATATTCATCGAACAACGTCGCAAGGTTAGCGCTGCATAAACATGCCTCTTCCGCATATGCCTCCTGATGAACGTTTATCTTAGACAAAACGGTTGTGTTAAAAGAAAAAAAGAAAAAAGATATATCAATAATATTCAAAGTAAATGATAAATATATGAATAAACTTTAAGAAACAGGTAAGTAAAGCACTCCCAAATTAATCATGAAATAATAAGTGCCAAATATAATCATTATAAAGCTGAAAAAATGCAGGACTCACCAACGAATCCTTTGGATGTTTGTCCACTACTTTGCATTACTTCCGTTTGGTTTAAGAAAGACTGTCGATTCTAAACTAATTTCGGAAATATGTTTTGCATATACCGAATCTTTGTCGGACAGAACCGCACTAAAGACTTTGCCAAGCAAACATTAAAAAACAGTCAACAATCATTTCCTACAGTCAACTGTATAACAGTCGCTTTCAATTTGTGTATCAATTTGCGTCATTTGCTGTCAGATTTAAAGCCAGAATACGTAAAATAACTCTCACGTGATGGTGATGTATACTTTACTTAAAAGCCGATCTGCAGGCTTTGCCATTTGGCGAAAACTTTGAGAAATGTTATTATCAAGAATTATCAAGCGATGTTTTTTTCAATTTTTGTTAAAACAAAAAACCGCTATAATATAGACTATTCAGCCCACATTATCACTAAAAGCTGACAGTGAAAATGCTGCAAAGCTATACAGAGTATTATAAACATTGGCGAGTTATTATTGTCATTGTTATTATTGTCCGTGATATGGAACAAACCTTTGTTCTTGCTTGCAGTTACTATTTTCTTTTCTGTTCGCAAAGCCTGTTCAGCTGCTGCCGCAGCAGCGAGCTTCGATTGTCGCCGTTTGTACGACATGAGAGAAAAAGGCACGAGATCAGAAAAAGTCGTTGACAAGAATTTTTTCAAACAAAATAAATTATACATCTGACTGATGAATGTCATAGACATCCAGCGGCTTTCCTGACGTTTGAATGACTTATCTTAAATTCGCCAATCGGGTATAACAGATCATTGCTACACATAATTTTTCGGCAAATACAAAAATACTTTCCGTACTATCTGATACTGTATATTTTTTCGTTCTAACTATCTTATCGTTTCAATTTCAATTTAAATCTTCCTTTAAAAGTTATTTTTGATGCTTTAGCTTTTTATTTACAAAACTAAATGGTCCTAAATCGTCATGTATATTTATGTAGACCATTGTTATTACGAATTATTTTAATAAAAAAACCTATCCGCCAAATAGTGTGTGAGAAAACAGCTGGCCTATTCGGAACGCACTTTTAGTTTTCTCGGCACTTTTCAGACTTGCTAATGATGCTGATATAGACTGTATTTGCGATGTGTTAATCTATTTGTTCAGGGAACTATTCACCGATTGCTGATATTTAATATTTATGTGTATAAGCCGAAAATGCGCGTTTCATATTATGAATGAACATAACAATTATAGGAATGGCATACGGCTTATCAACGAATTGATAGAGCTGAACATGATTTGCATCGCAAGTTGAAGACAATACAGATTATTTTAAAGGATGACGGATTGTTTTTAAGTTCTATACAACTAGGGGAGCAAAATATTTAGTCGGAGATCCTTTTCACGGCTCGATTTTAGAGAATATACTATAAAAACATACTTGTAGCAAATATCATGATTATTCATGTAAAAGTTTCCACAAATGGATCATTCTGTCAGGGATACTCGAGGTTTTCCTCTGTCCACAGGAGTATCCGCTTGGATGATGAGTACTCTAATAATTTTCGCAACAAACTCTTAAATTGAGAAGATACATGTATGATTCTGCAGCAGACGGAAAAGCAGAAACTTTTAAGGAAGCTCTACAGGATCCTAGCTAGATAATAAGCGCTAATGTTTCATACGCTGAGTTGCATTGAATTCACTCAGGAAATAAACTCCCAAACTGCCTCTTTAGTTGTTTCTACTCTCTTTCTGCTCATCGGCTTATTATCACCTCTTTTGACATAATTGGTTTCCGCAAAGGTAAATTCGACGTTTGAATCCTGTCATTGAAAAACCGCCGGCACAAAGTGTTGAGAAATAAAATTGCCTTAACTATATATAGTTCTGGGATCAATTCGATTCAGGCTATCATGATGTACTTTTGAGCGAATTAAACCCCACAATGATATTCCATTGTTTATAGTTTGACACGTAAAAGTCAGATAAAAAAAGGATGAGAAGTTAAAATGAAAAATTACTAAAAAAAACGGCGGTCAGAAACTAATCATAACAACACAATATTTGCTCGGTCGGTTTTCTATTAAAATTACTAAATTTTTTCCCTCAAATTACGTGTGTCGTTTCGTGTATATTCATTCATTCCGTGCACAGGTGCATGGCATGTGCTCAGGAGAATCCAGTTAGGCGGCTTATATGCCTATTTTCAAAAAAAGGTTGTCGGATAAATACAGCGGATAAATACAGCGGAGAGTCAATTGTCGTATGCGAGTGCACGACCAACTGGTTTATAGTGTAAGGACCTGTAAGGTAGTCTACAGACTGTGGTAAACATTGGCTCCATTTGGTCTCTATTTCTAGTCAAGCTCGAGCTAGCCCAATAAGTCAAAACAGTTGTTTGTCAAAACAGTATTACTAACCATAGTACCTTTCGGTCGTACAATATTCCTTCGACATGCAATGTCTGCAATCGCCGCTTTCCGTTCTCCCCGACAACGTTTTTTTTAAATAGGTGTGATCAGGTATCATCGCGCGCCAGGTTCTAAGTTTACATATTATGGTCTAAAGATCATTTCCTCATGTAGCCAGTGAGTATTGTAAAAAATCCTGCGAAACTCCTATATAGAATGCTTTCGTTCCCGGCAAAAAGCTTTATGCATGAGTGCAAGTTGTCGATCTCTTTCGACATCGATCAACGTATTTAGTATTAGTGGAACTTGTGTACACTTGAGGCGCACTTTCCCTTGATGAATGTAATTACAAACTAACCGGAAATGGCAGGTGCAAATGATCTACAACACTGACAAGAAAATGGAATAACCAAGCACGTATTGGATTCGCTTCAATTTAGTATGTAAAAATGACAAAATACGCAGCAGAGACCGCCGAAATACATGAGTAGTATTGGACTTGATCTCGTGATTCTCAGCGAAAGATTTGCTTCAAATCCAGGTTTATATATATCTATGTTCATTGGAGTTCCTTTACAAACTGTGGCTATTACATGGAAACAAGAGAAAACAATCCGAAGGGGGCCTTAATTGTTCCGGAATAATTTTTGAAAAAAAGCCTAACAACCAGCTCAGAATTGGATTATATAAGGTCGTTACCATAGCAACGCTTCAGAAACCAAATTTCAAAATATTTATAAAAAGAATAGTAATGTTTTAAACTAACACGTAAATGAAAGTAAAAACTACGAGATAATTTATAATAAAAAGAATATTTTGGAAATAGTAAGAAATTTTCACGATGGAATATATCAGCCATGGCTGTTCTGCGACGGGAACGATCATGGCAACTTATAGTTAACCATACAGTAAATTCAATTGAACTATTGCAAGTGGCTTATGCGGGGCTTAACATTTTAAACATGTGAACAATTACAAAGGACATTTCCTTACCTTTTTTTCTTTGAGGCGCCTGCATATTCATATCAGAGTAGTTTTGGCTTTACCCTGCGAGCAGAGTGTATTTCCTTACCTCAATAAAAGCGCACGTCGCGTTTGAATTGCCAAAGAAACAAAACTGTTCAATATGCTAATGAGGTAGTCCATATATCTAACGTGCTAATTGACAGTGAGAGTATAAACCCAGCATAAACACTTTACTGTAACTGCAGCGTGCATAGTCACCTGGCCCAAAAAATTGCATATTAAAAATATGAAACCATTCTGTAGGGCAATACAGTGCAAAGGTACCAGAAAAAGGTGAAAAATGCGATTGCGCTCTGAGTGCATTAAACAATTTCAGTATCAAAAAATATTCTTGCCCGCAGGGTGGACGGGTACTACATAAAACACATAAATTGTTTAACAATTTACATCTGTGTATTCTATTGATTCATTTCTGTATTATTTATGGGGTTCCTGTGATATATAGAGAGGAACGCCTGGCAAGTTTTAACATCTTTCCTCAAACAACACGTAGTACGCAGTGATTTCTCAATCCTGTTTTGAAAACGTTCTATTATCATGAGTGAAAGTCCTGAGCCAATTAAAAACCCACAGATCAAGTTCACTCAGGTACGAATAAGACAATGGTATGTTTCATTAAGTGTAATATGCACGGCCATTCCATCTCAGGAGGATATTCTATTGATCTGCACAGACTAAGCATTAGATTTTTGAGGGAGGGTTGGATAATATCAACACTTAATTTACTGCCAGTAAAGAGTTCCTGAAAGGCGAAATTTCCGCCAGGGAGGGGAGGGGGGTGCTCCATGTCTTTTGACTGTAAAAGTAAAATGACCAGCCCTAAATGTAACTTTTATACAAATCGGAAAATTATAAAGGATGGGGGTGATAATTTTTGTATCCTATTACAAACTTCACAGGTATATATAGATCTATGAGTACAATTCAACCTATACAATCATATTGATGAAGAGATTGCTAGCTTTTAACATGCCAATGATGTCACCAGAGTAAGATGAAGAAATTGATGATTTTAGTGCTTAGAAAAAAAATCTCCTTTCCTGGTTGGGATTTCTGTATGGAAAGGGTAAAATGGTGATAGGGGGAGTCAGGGAAAATAGGAGGGAGGGGAGGGGAGGGAAAGGAAAAATAGATAGAATCATTATGGATGCACTTCCCTTTTTATCCAACAATAACATTTGATTTGATATTTTTTGAATTTTCAGCTCTTTATCAATAATGAGTATGTTGACAGTTTGAGTGGAAAAACTTTTCCGACCATCAACCCCAGTTCTGGTGAAAAAATCTGTGATGTCTCAGAAGGAGATAAGGTAATATAAGGTGTTTTCCTCATGTTCTGAATCCTATATACACCTACTTGCGAAAACGTTGTCATACAAAATAGGACATTTGTATTTTAATAAAAAGGAATAAATTAAAAAGACAAAAGAAGATCACTGAGGCTGAACGCTTTCTTTTGTCCTGTTTTAATTTATTCCTTTTTACTAAATTCGAATGTTCTATTTTCTATGACAACGTTTCTGCAAGTAGGTGTATTATTACAGTGAATAGAGGCACAACCTTATGGGATATGCTACAATCTTTCAAAAAATGACATAAATGTATAAATGTGAACCGTAGGAAGATGTAGACAAGGCAGTAGAGGCAGCAAAGAAAGCCTTCAAACCAGGAAGCAAATGGAGAACAATGGATGCATCCAATAGGGGAAGACTTCTCTACAAAATGGCAGATCTTTTGGAAAGGGATATTGCCTATCTGGCTGTAAGCTTCTTTGATGTTTTGGATTAGATTAGTAACACCTTTGGACCTTTGAATATACTTTGGTATCCAGTGCTTCTTCTTGAATCTTGATTTAATATGTCTATGATCAGTTGATTTGTTTTATTTTCCTTCTTTATTCAATTCTGGCTGTTAAATTTCAATTAGTTTTAACCCCTTAAATTCATTCAAGTGAATGTGATTCCAATTTTTAGTCCCTCGAGACTTTCGATAGTGGCAAGCTGTTTGATGACTCTGTCGGTGACATGCAGGAGTGTATTTCATGTCTCCGTTACTATGCTGGATGGGCTGACAAAGTACATGGCAAGACTATACCAGCTGGTAAGTCCCAATACTAGTCATTACATCTTCTTTATCTGGGCACTTACTCTATGACTGTTTAAAAGTATGTACTAGTCTTTAATTCCCAGCAAGTTTATAAAGACATCAGAACACTCTGGGCAATCCACATTTGGTTTCTGCACCAACTTCTTAGTTTAATACTGACAGTTTAGTCTTAATGGGAATACGTTCAAGTTCATCATTAATAAATGTTCAAATTAGGTAGTGAGTATTCTCTAATTTTCCATAAAGGGAGCTGTTTCCCTGGAGTACTTGGGATTTATTCTTAGGTAAATGAAATAACCCAGTGTCTGTATGATATGGAGCGTCGGCATATATGACAAATAATTGACTGAAATTCAGACATTTAATTGTTTGATGTGCCACAAGTCTGTGCAAATTTTGCAGAAGAAAACAGAATGCTGGCAGATGGTTGTACACATAATATCCAATTATGTTATGTATCTTTAAGTGTTTAAAGACTGTAAGTCCTCTATGTAGCTAGTGTACTTCATAGCTTACTTATAATAACCTTATGTCAGGCTACAGCCTGTCCATTACAAAAGAAGGAAGCACAACAAAAGGCTTGGCAGCAAGACTATAATGTAACCTACCCTAACATGGATCAAACCATTGCCAAATTCACCTCTAACTCTAACTATTTACTAATTTGATTGACAAGATGGACCATACTTTGTGTATACTCGTCATGAGCCAGTAGGAGTTGTTGGGGCCATTACACCTTGGAACTTCCCTCTTGCCATGGCTTGCTGTAAACTTGCTCCAGCTTTAGCTTGTGGTAATGTTGTCATCCTCAAACCTGCTGAACAGACACCACTGACTGCTCTTTATGCTGCTTCCTTATTTAAAGAGGTAATGGGAAAGGAATGGTAAATAAATAATGTAGTTGCCTGTGTATATTTTTTATGCAGTAAAATACCTTAATAAAATACTTTGCTTGCGCTTTACGGGCATTATTTATGCAAAGGATTTATAACATATTTGATGTAGATATTACATTCCTTCTATTAAATGTATTTTTTTGATGTTCTAGGCTGGGTTTCCACCTGGTGTTGTTAATGTAATTCCAGGTTATGGTCCTACTGCAGGTGCTGGCATTACACATCACATGGGCATTGATAAAGTCTCATTTACTGGCTCTACTGAGGTAGGGGAATAAAAATTGTTGGTAAATTGATTTAACGCGATTGGTGTCAAGCGGTTCAAGAAAAGAGCAACTTGCACTGAGAGCATTTTCTTGTGGATGGAATTACAACACTGAGAAAAGGTGGAACATGGAATGGTCACTTAGGTACATGGTTCCTTTTGGCTTAGTAATGCCATTTGTCATATTACCTCTCTATGCATTTGTAAACATTGTATATGATGTTTCACGCGAGTTTTCGCATTATTTAGGTTGGCCGTTTAATCCAGTCAGCCTCAGCCAACTCCAACCTAAAGCGTGTAACGCTTGAACTTGGCGGCAAAAGCCCAAACATCGTTTTAGCCGACTGTGATCTTGACATTGCTGTTGAAGTTGCTCATCAAGCACTGTTCTTCAATCAAGGACAAGTTTGCTGTGCTGCCAGTCGCACCTTTGTTCAAGACTCTATTTATGATGAGTTTGTCAAGAAGAG